TTATTATATTATATAGGGCGGCAGAAATAAGAAGTTAAAAAACGCTTTAACTAGCCAAACAGACCCTAACACAAATAACTAAATTATTTCAACAGGCACCAGGTGGAGAAATTGGATGAAGGTTTTTGTGACCAAACTAAGGTTTCTATCTTAATTAATGAAGCATGGAGCTGCTCATGGGAATTTCAAAAGCTTGGAGGGCTAAGACAAGGGGATCTGTTGTCACCATTGCTCTTTCTTGCTGCCATGGAGGGTTTGAGCAGAATGGTAGCCCAGGTTGTTGAAGCAAGTTGTATTGAAGGTTTCAAAGTTAGGAACAATGGCCCAGAAATTGTTCTCCAATTTATAGATGACACGTTTTTCTACAATGCCTCTTTGGATCAGGTGACCAATTCAAAATATTTGTTCTTTTGGTTTGAGGTGGTGTCTGGCTTAAAAGTGAATCTGGCCAAAAGTGAGATAATGGCAGTTGGAGAAGTAGAGAATGTGGCTGAGTTGGCTCATCTATTGGGATGCAAAGTTGCATGTCTCCCTTCTAACATTTAAGCTTGCCTCTAGGGGCCAAGTGCACCTTGAGAGCTATTTGGAGCCCAATTTTAAAGAAGGTGGACTCAAAGTTGGCCTCTTGGAAGCCCGGTATCTATCTAAGGGTGGAAAAGTAACTACTCTAATTAAAAGTGTGCTAGCTAGCCTCCCAGCTTTTTACATGTCTATCTTCCCATTACCATTTCAGGTGGCAGATCAGATTGAAAGAAGAATGAGAGATTTCCTCTGGAATGGCTGGAAGGACTCTTCCAAATATCATTTGGTGAAGTGGGATCATGTCTGCAAACATGTGTCTCATAGAGGTCTGGGTTTAAGGAGGGACTAACCAGTGTTTTAAAAGTCGTGCCTCAGGTGCGCCTACATAACCAAACAAGCTTTGGAGAAAGGTTATATAGTTGAGAAGTATGGTCTTTGTAGCAACAGCTTGGATGCAGAAACTGCCCTTTCATCCTATAAGTGTGTGGAAGGGCGTCTCAAGAGTTTACAGAAGTTTCTGTGAAGGATTTATCTTCGAGGTGAGTGATGGGAGGAAGGTGAGATTTTTGGCTGGATGTTTGGTGTGGTGACTTGGCACTAAAAGACAGATTTCCTTCCTTGTTTAATATATATGGCAGAAAACAAACTGGCATGGGTGGAAAATTCCTATGAGGTAAATGGTAGCTTGATCAGCTGGAGTCCTTTCAAGAGAAGTTTCAATGATTAGGAGATTGATCAGGTAACTGGCCTTCTGGCTCTTCTTCAGAACCAACACAGGACCTACAGACTCAAGACTCTAGATGTTGGAAGTGGACTTCAACTGGGTTCTTCACTTCAGTGGTAGGGGTGTCAATGGACCGGTTTAGGGTTGGACTCCTTCCAAATCAAAATCCATTTGGACGGATTGGACGGACCAATAAGACATATTGAATCTGGATGGACTGAATGGACCAATATGATATATTGGATTGGACCTGATCCGTTCATAACGAATTTATATTGGATTGAGCCAATATTTGGTGCATTAAAAGAAGATAAGAACATAGGTGTCAATGTACCGGGTTTGATTTGAAACCAATCTAAATTAACAAGAATTTGAACAGATTGGACAGTCTCTGGACTGGTCCAAAATTCATTGGACTGGATTGGACCAGGTCCATTTATAATGGACTCACATTGGACTGGACCGGATTGGACCAAATCCAGTCCAATTGACACCCCTATTCGGTGGTAGCCCTTGAGAAATGTTTGACTTTGACCAAGGAAATGCTAATGAAAAAAGGGTACACAGTACACCATCCAAGATAGACTGTTCATGCTTTGCAATTGAGGAAGAGACAGTTGGCCATTTGTTTGTGCACTCTAGTTTCAGTTCAGCTGTGTGGAGTCACTTCATAAGGGCTATGAATCTGCAGTGGTGCTGTCCCTTCTCAGCTATGTGTGGAGTCACTCAAGAATGGGGCTTTCCAGATACACACACACACACTGTATGTTATTTTTTTTCTTTATTTTTTAGCCAAATGGAATGACATTCGGATGCTTTGCCTTTGGAGCTTGTGTTGGTTTTCTTTCGTTAAACTTTTTATGAGAAAAAGTAAAGTATAATTTCAAAAACAAAAAACATGTACGACAAGCCGCTGAATTTAAAAATTTCAAAATGCACTAGGCTCTCAAGGGAATACCAAAAATACCAAATATCATGAGAATAAGCAAACAAAGTAAAGGGCTGTGTGCTGGTGCTGGTCACTGTAGGAAGAAAGAAATTCATGTATTTTTTCAGACAAGGAAAGAACCCTGGAAGAACTGTTAAACCTAATTATATTAAGGGCTGCCCACTGGCTAAAATCTTTGTAGTTGTTTTCAGACTTTCCTGTGGATGACTTGCTGAGAAATTGGAAAGAGGTTGCTACCACTGCTCGGTGCAGGAGGACTCTTTGTCCCTCTTGGTCCCCTCCCCTCTTGGGTTAATTTGAATTTCAATGGCAGTAGTGTAAGGAATCCAGGGCCCTCTGGGATTGGAGGAGTTTTCAGGAATGAGGGATTGTTATTGCTTTGTTCTCTTAGGGCTGAGATCTTTGCAGCGCTTGAAGGAATTGAAAGAGCAAAGGAATTAAATATCAGCCGATGATCCTGGAAGGCAATTCGAAGGTGGTGGTTAGCTGGTTGAAGAAAGAGGACAGTGGTTTGTGGAGCTATAACAATGAAAAGAAACAGTTCTTATGGCTGTGTAGGGACATGGAGATACAATACAGATGGGTGAAGAGGAGTGCCAACTCATTTGCAGATGGGTTGACCAAGCAAGGGGTGAATGGGGAGTCT